CGCAGCGGCGAAACCACTGAGCTAAATCCCCAGCCCTCAGCAGTTTAAATTAAACAATAATCCCCAGTTGGGGATGTAGCTTAGTGATACTGTTAATATCAAGTTCTTTTTTTTTTTTGGTACCGGGGATCAAACTCAGGTCCTTGCACTTGCGCAGCGGCGAAACCACTGAGCTAAATCCCCAGCCCACTAATCAAGTTCTTATCTGTTCAAGGAGAGTTTGTTATGTACTTTTCAAAGGAATAGGTGGTGGTAGATAAGTTACTATAGTATTTGTATTCCATTTATAAAAGAGATATACTGTCAACTCTTTTTCTGTAGCACCTAGTTGTATCTTAGACATAATTTTTCCACATTAATAGCTTTTTGACTTGACATGCTTTACATCCAACAGAAATTAATTTCTGATAGAACTTTCTTTTTTCACTCCAAATAAAACATGAATGTATTTTTTTGTACAATCCACAATAATGCATTGATTTGCTGGAAGAAACATATTGGTGAAGAAAATTTAATGATCTCAAAAAGATTTTGAGGTCCAGGGATTTAGCTCGGTGGCACCGTGCCTGCCTCGCAAGCACAAGGTCCTGAGTTTGATCCCCGGTACGGCAAGAAAAAAAAAAGATTTTGATGTGAAGAATGAGAATAAATATGAAAATAAAGAACAGGAGAACAACAGAGAATCCAGAATGGGGTTGGTGGATTATACAGTGAAAGAAGACCCAGAAGAGGAAATTCCTACACTTTTTATTAAGTGAATTAAGAGCAACCCTATCTGAGACTTGACAGTTGCACTCTTTTGCTAATTGAGATATAAATGTATTCAATATAAGCAATATTCAAATTGTTTAGCACCTGCCATATGCTAGACATTGTTTTAGACATTATGATGAAATAGACAAAATGGCTTTTTAAAGAATAAGGAAGTAAAATCTATCCTGGAGAAGTCAGTCACATTGACAGAGACTTAGTTTAAAAACATGACAAGAAATTCTCTTCCACTTTTTTCCCCCAAATTTCTATAGGTGCCTATAAAGAAAATAAAATTTTGCCCTACTTAAAATGGGAAGAGATAAACCTATTTTGAGGCTTTCATCAGCATTGTAAAACTCAAGACAAAAAAGCTTTTCTGAAGGCATTTTATAAAGCCACACGTGAACAGTAACAAAAGGATGACATTAAAGTTCAATAAAATCTATACAAACATATTTATCAAATAGATTATGTAGCAAAGCACAGGGAAATTTTCCAAATCCATTGCACAACTGTAAAATATTAAAGGAGAAATTTTGACATAGTATAATGGTTAACATTTTGTATCAACTTTACTGTGCCATGCAGTGCCCAAATATTTGGTAAACGTTTCTGGGTAATATTATAGGAGGTGTTTATAGGTGGGATTAGCACTTGAATCAGTAGACTGAGTAAAATAGATTCCCGTCCCAATTGTGGGTAAGCATCCTCCAATCTGTTGGGGACCTGGATAAAACTAAAAGGTGGAGGAAAAATTCATCCCCCAGTTATCTGTACTGATGCCTTGACATCAGTATTCTGACTGTGGTCAGGAATATACACCATTGACTGTCCTGACTTCTGGCCTTTCAACTTACACTGAGCTATAGCAACAACTCTCCTGATTTTGGTGCTTGTGGACTATAGATCATGTAACTTCTTAGGCTCCGTAATCATATGAGCCACTTCCTGTCTTAGTTACAAAATTAAAGGTATAATTTCTTATTGTAGACCAGTAAATTGTTTATTTCACTCTTTAACAACCCCCTGCCCAGTGTGTTTTTAATTCATTCACTGATATTATTTTATTTAGTATTTTCTCTTGACAGTCATTCTACATTGATTCATTTTGCCTTTACTAATCCCCTTCCATTCATCCTATGATCAAGTGTGTTTACCTTGTTTTATGGATTTTACTGTTTAGCTATCTGGACTATGAAAATAGTTTCCTCTTTTTTTGTATAGTTTTCCTCTTTTTTGTATGTTTGTGTGTTGTTGTTTTGTTATTTGTTTTTGTATCCGACACATTCTTTATACTCATTTCAAAATGATCTTTTAAACAAATGTCATCATTATGCTTCTTTTAAGTTCCTAACATGATTCCTTAGCATGTTTTAAAAGACTTTAATCTAGCTGAGCCTATTTCTCCAGTAGTTTCTGTAAGTGCTTCCACTCAAGCATTGAAATTGGATATTTATACTCACTTTTATAAGGGTTTGGTTTGTATGTGTGTATATGTGTATTTTGTTAGTGAGGGTATGAGTGTTTGTGTGGGTTTTTGGGGGGGCGGGGCAAGGTCTCACTGTGTTACTCAGGCTCACATCTTCATTCCCGGGCTCAGTGATCCTGTGATCCTCCTGCCTCAGCTTCCTGAGTGCTGGCAGTACAGGTAGATAGTCATACAAATGTTCCTGATATTTTTACAATATGTAGTTTGTCAGATTTTCACTGATATTTAAAAAAAATTAAAAGTTTTCAGAATTGTAGGACCACAGAAAAATTCTCAGGCACCAGTTTGAAAATTATGGATTAATCGCCACATATTTGTTTTAAATGAAAACAAATATATTTTCAACAAGATCCTATAATTCTAGGTAAAGAATATCATTAGAATACATAGAATTGTAATATCTGTTACTTGACTCATAACTTTTTGAGTGTGTACCATTAAAGGGTCATCACTATTTAAACATCAAGAATTGCATAATGGAATTTAAAGCTAACCATTTCCTTTGTGCTTGAACTAGAAAGGGTTTTCTCTAAAATTTATTCAGAACTCTCAATTTGTTTTGAAATCTTCATAATGAATTCTGTTGATACCTGAATAGTATGGTCACATATTGCACAAAGAATTCTTACCTTATTCCATCTTCCACTGATCCTTTTTATTAATCCAAATTTTCAGTTTGAAAAATTGGTATATTTTGTTTTCTTGATGAAACAGGTTGTTTTTATTAACACAAAGGTGATAAATGAGATAATATTTTCAAATATTGTACAGATAATGAAGTCAAAAGATCAGGGAAAAGAAAAGTATTATTGCCTGGAAATACTTAACTGTACATTGGGAAAGTCTTTGCTATGTTGACTATGCTGAGGTGATTGTTCAAAACTGAGTAAAACAGTTTTA